CAATGACTCTTGCCAAATTAAAGATTGTTTAAACGTACAATTGGTGTATTATTCGGAACTGGAGTCAGTTAGCATTTATGCTTCCGGAGAACACAATTGATAGAAGATAAGTTATAAATAAATGTCTCTTGTATGGAATATTAAGAGAAAAATAATAGTGGTCCATTTTGATTCCTAGAGTTAAGAAAACATTGATTTGTATCAATGTTGGATTCTTAAAAGAAGATCATGTTTTGGACTACATAGCCTAATGACGAAGTTTGAAGGAAGTTTGACTGTCTTAGTCTTCTAGTATACCCTAAATACGTTAAGAGTTTCGCTTGTGTTCTAGTATAGAAATTCCAATACCACTTTGCAGTGGGAGGAATTTAAGTTACTAGTGTTACATTTAGGGTGATTTATCATAGTGGGAGGATTCATAACGAAATCATAAGATTGTATGTTTATAGAATGTTAGTGATAACAAGATTCTTGATAAACATATAGTTCCTTCCTAGAACTATGAATGAACGCCAATTTCTATAGATGCAAGAAATTGGCTTAGTGCTATAAGAATCCAAAGTGGAAATGATTAGACAGAGAAAAGTGAAAACCTTTTAAAAGGTTAGGCTTAAAGTAAGAAGGTTCTGTCGGAAAGAAATGGATCGACTACGAGGAAACTTTCTAGTTAGTAGCCACACTTTAGTCTATTTCAAATTCCTAAAATCTATCAGTACCATGTTTTAATTTGGTAGATGGATGTCAAGATTTCATATCTCTTGACGAATGCATTTCACGATGCAAATTAAATGGATTTTAGCTTAGTGCCATATGCATTGCAATGTAAACTTAATAAATTCATTTATGAATTTAAGCAAAGTGCGCATATTATGTGATATTTAGATTGATCATAGCATCAATGTTTTGATTTTGATTATGAATCTAGATATATCACATTTTGTAACGGAAGCGTGGTGAAAGTCTTAAAAGACGTATTACATAATAATTTCCTTTTAGAAAATAATTTGGAAATTATTTAGGTGAGGGTATTGTTTCTCGAGTCAAATCAATATGGATAACTTGAGTGAAACTAGTTATGTCGTATGGATCATTTTTAGGATCTATGAAATAGGACATTAAGTTGTCACGGACAAGTTATGTTGATTTACATACTTGCCAAATTTAGCATGTACAAATTCCAAAGAAAGGATTGTTTCTTTCAGTCACGGAGTCATTCTATCGAGAAATTAGTGTCTTTGAACACGTAATTTGATAGAGATGTTGAAGGCAGTTCTTGTTGTAAAGAAGCCTTGCATATGCTATAGTAAACAATTAAATTCAAATCTTGCTTTGCATCTTGCATAGTTAGCAAATGTGAATTTATTTAAGGCTAGTATGCTAGACTGCGGTAAAGTATATTCTTAAGTATTCAAGGATACAAGATTATATACTAGTTTACTAGCGGATAGTCTTGGTACGACTCAATAATTAATGGTCGAGCATAATAATTTTTCTATAGCATGTTATCACTGTGGGAGATTTATTTTCCTAAGGAAGTGAAAGCGTATAGTAGGAGGTTTATGCAATTTTGCGATTGCATATTCTGCTAGATATACAATGTGTGCTTTTACATCGGATGATAGCCCTATAGATATGTTCTATGGATGGGTTAGAGATATTGAGCTGCGAGTCTTTGAGTCTAAGTGAGAGATTGTTAGGATAGTAGACTAAAAGTCTCGCTTTTAGCTACATAATTTTATTATTGAATTAATAAAATCGTTTATTATCATTTTATGAGAATCTGCACTAGGGTATTCAATGCATTTAATTGATTGGTTGTCAATTAATTAAAATCATACGTCTAATATTCTAATAGTATTCGAGATGGTGTGCTACGGCGCACAGAAAGATCATTTCGAAAGTTCGTTTAGAATATAAAGATAAACGTTCACAATCTAGATGGAAATGGACTAACCATTGGTAAAAGATTGTAGCACAATATTTAAGTGATTGGTCTTGATCACAGTAAACAGCGAATAACTTTTGTAGTTATTGTTTTGACTTATTGTGCTAGCACACCCGGCATGTGTTGAACATGACAAAGTGAAATAATTGTTTCATCACTGTTCAAAATGAAACTGTATTATTTCTAGTCGACAGTAAATTACTTACTCTCTTAATCCCTAGATAATTAACGTACATATTTAATTGATGATCTCTACTTTGATGTCACAATGGGAGAGATTCCTATATTGAGTCAAATGGCCCCCAATGCGTTGGGTAGAGACATTAAGAATTAATAGGTGGAAATTAATTATCGAAAGGAATCCACATCTCTGAAATATGAGATTGATAATAACCCTTGAGTAGCTTATAAGATTTGTTTATGCCAAGTCTTGGCCAGGTGGATTTCGTATCCGGCATACTCAAATACGTTAAGCGGGCAAGACTCATGAAAAGAAACCATTTAATTTATTTAGCAGTGAATAAATTATTTGGTGGTTATAAGATATCTTAATATGGGGAGAATCTAAGTAATGATCGACCGGAGCTCGAATGTAATATTTGAGAATATAAACGGGAGTTCAATAATTATTTGGTAGTGGAAAATAAATAATTATTTAATGATTAATTAAATGAATTCTTTTAAGAGTTTGGATTTAATTAATTATTAGTTGCCCGATTTATATTTTCTCCTTTAGTCCCTATTGTAGCCCAATGGATTTTCTAATTAATCGAGAAAATAAAGTTCAACTAATATTATATATTGGAATTAATATAGCCGAAAATTAAGTCCCCTTTGGATTGTAGTTTTCGACTATATAGAGTTATAGAAGGAGTGGGATTTGTTTCCATGTAATCGCTCTATATGTGGGACTCTAATTCCTTGTGCTATATATAATAGAGATTAGGTTGATGAGAAAAAAAAGTTTTTTTGCTACACGCCTATTTCACGGTGGAAGAGAAATATTTTTTCTCTTCTTCTTTTCTCTTTAAGTTTCTCGATTATAGATTTAGATTTCTTCAAGTACAAGTCCACCCTTGTAGAAGAATTATTAATCCGGGATATACAATAGAAGATTATAGGTTTTTAGAGCAAACATTTATTCCCGAATTTTCTGAGCAATCCTGCGAAGAAATTCACCATAAATCAACCATTAGTCGGATGTGCTCGAAATTTATACAGTAGCTTCCTAACCTTAGATCTACAATCCGTCCGAAGGGTCTTTCGAGATATCGTTGACGGAAGAGGACTGGAAATTTCTGGACAGCAACTTTTACGAAGGTTGAAGGCTTGACGTGGATCCTCGTTCGTGCGCCGAAGATAGAAACGGATCTGCTCGCGAAAACTGTAAGTTGCTAGATTAGATTTATTCCGCTTTAAACGAATCTAATCAAAGCATGTTAATAAAATTAAAACCGGCTAATCTAGAACCTCTTGCGAATTTTCATTGAATCCTGGGCTTCACATCCCAACAATTGGTATCAGAGCTTCTTTGATTAATTCGTTTGAGGTTCACATGTTGTCCAAAATTGCATGAAACGGAAATTCATATGTTGCATGTAGCGTTTTGTTTCTGACTTTGTTTTGCAGAATAGAAAATCCGCTATTATGGTTATGAATGTTTTATTTATGTTTTATGTGAATGGATCCCACTGCCTCGTGAGTGGTTACTTGTCGGTTTTAATTTCCATCGCGTGATATTGATGGAAGATCGTGTGCCTACGATATTTTTATTTTTTGTAATTTTTCTAGAGGAGTTTTAGATAGAAATTACATAGATAGAATATAGCAGATTTTGTTCTCGGAATTGTTTGCGCGACTGTGCCGTTTGTGTTATTCCGGCCTAGTCCACCGTTGGATCGAGCTGAAATGTTTTCTGGAGGTTCCTAACTCCTTGGAAGTAGCATCCGACCGTTCGGATCGTGAATCGGAGTTACCGAGATAGATATATTAATTTCAGAACAAGGCTGACAACACGAGAATTATCAACCGCGCGGGGTCTCGACATCGGGCAGCGGGCAGCGGTTCCGGGCAGCCCGGAATTCGACAGCTAGCTTTCGAATGTTAACTGTTTCAAAATTTTTTTTTTCGATAATTTGAAATTTTTATTTTTTTTGTCCAAAAACACTTAGAATATGTTTTTTATCTTACATTGCAATATATTTGGGGTTAATTTAAAAAAAAAAAAATTGCAATTTTTTCAGAAAAAAAAAAAAGTTTGATACAGTTAACATTCGACAGCTTACTGTCGAATTTCAGTAGAAATTCGACGGCTACCTGTCGAATGTTAACTGTTTCAATTTTTTTTTTTCGATAATTTGAAATTTTTATTTTTTTTGTCCAAAAACACTTAAAATATGTTTTTTTTTATCTTACATTGCAATATATTTGGGGTTAATTTCAAAAAAAAAAAAAATTGCAATTTTTTCAAAAAAAAAAATAAAATTGCAATTTTTTCAAAAAAAAAAAAAAATTGATACAGTTAACATTCGACAGCTAACTGTCGAATTTCAGTAGAAATTCGATAGCTACCTGTCGAATTTCTATTGAAATTCGACAGTTAGCTGTCGAATGTTAACTGTTTCAAAATTTTTTTTTTTCGATAATTTGAAAATTTTATTTTTTTTGTCCAAAAACACTTAAAATACGTTTTTTATGTTACATTGCAATATATTTGGGGTTAATTTAAAAAAACAAATTAAAATTGCAATTTTTTCAAAAAAAAAAAAAATTGATACAGTTAACATTCGACAGCTAACTGTCGAACTTCAGTAGAAATTCGACAGCTACCTGTCGAATTTCTATTGAAATTCGACAGCTAGCTGTCGAATGTTAACTGTTTCAAATTTTCTTTTTTTCGATAATTTGAAATTTTTATTTTTTTGTCCAAAAACACTTAGAATATGTTTTTTATGTTACATTGCAATATATTTGGGGTTAATTTCACAAAACAAATAAAAATTGCAATTTTTCAAAAACACAACACTTAATAACATTGAAACTAGCACCAATAACTTTACATAGTTTGTTCGGGAGAACTATCACCATTGTCTGATATAGTAATAATCTCGAAACTCTCTCGTGTGGCAACATTTTGACCTACT